CCAAAGAAGTTTCTCCTCCTGCTCAGGTGGCACCTCCTGGGTTCCAGTTGGTGCCTGTTGCCCCTTGTCCTGTTGCTGGGCACCACTGACCAGAGTCTGGCCCCAGCCTCTTGCCCCCCCCGGGGGCTCTTTAGCTCTTGATGAGCCTCGATCATATCCTCTGTGAATCTTCTCTTCTGCAGACTCAACAGCCCCAGGGCTCTCAGTCTTTCCTCCTCCTAGAGATGCTCCAGCCCCTCAGCATCTTCGCAGATACCACTGAACTCTCTCCAGTAGCTCCTTGTCTCTCTTGAACTGGGGAGCCCAGTACTGGACTCAGTAGTCCTGAGGTGGCCTCCATGGGGCAGAGGAGAGGTGAGGGAGAACCTCCTTCATTCTTCTGGCCACACTCTTCTGAATGCACCCCAGGAGACCATTTGCCTCCTATGAAGATCCACACAGAGACACCGGGGGCTTGGTTTACAACATGACTTACAAATCTACATTCAAGTAGCCTTAAATAGGTTGGCATTAATTACAAAAAAAATACTTAATATGATTTACAGGTGGTGGCTGTAAGATTTCTGGGACTAGATGCTCATTCCTAGTCAACATGAAAAATTATCTTTTAATTAATGAAACAAGGGAGCAGTTTGAAATTTTACAAAAATAGAGCTGCTAAAAGTTTTCCAAAGAAACACCAGGAGGCTTCGATTATGATGCAGCATATCTTTAATGAGATTAAAAAGCAGAATAAAAAAGCATGAGCTCTAAGAATATGTTTCCAGGCTTCAATAAGACAACAGCTGATTCATCTTTTCATCCTGATTTCCCTTTCTCAGTGCTGCTGTGAACTGAGACAATAAAGTCCCATCTATAGCAATAGGGAAAAAAAAATGTTGCATCAGAAGTATGAAGCATTCAAAGAAGGAGGCAGACAAAGGTCTGATTTTAGGAGATGCCAAGCTCCTACAGCTCCATTAACTCAGGTGGAGTTGTGGGTATCTAACATCGCTTCTGGAAGTCATGGCCATCAGCTCGTGCTTCAGCTTTCCTGGTCATTTCTTCCTGCTTGCTCCTCAGGCTTTAGCACGGCCCGTAGAAGCCACTGCGGTAGGTGTTGTAGCGACGGGAGGGCCGGCTGTAGCCACTGCCCAGCCCTGGGTAGCCAAAGCTCCCCAACCCTGAGGAGCTGCCAGAGGAGATGGGCACCCCCTCGGAGCTGAGGACGCTGCCCACGGCTGCAGAAGTGGAAGATCCCACAGCGGTGTCCTGGGGGAAGGAGCTGAGGATGGGTCCAGGCAGGGTGACCACCACGGGAGGGGGTTGGATCACGTACGTGGATTCCTGGCACTGCCTCACGCAGGGCTCGTTGCAGCTGTTGGCAAGTGGGGTTGGGCCACAAGAGGTGGTAGGACACAGGTCATAGCAAGACATGTTTGTAGGACAGAAGGAAGTCTGAAACACAGGGAAGAAAGTAAATATAAAATCGAAGTTGTATTTAATCTATAGAAGTCAGGTAAGAGGACTCCATACATGAAAGTACCTAGAGGTGGTGGTCAGAAGGTAATAACTTATTAGATCAAGATCCACAGTAGACAGCCTGAAAACAGCATAGTGGTTTTTCTTCTTTTTATAAAGCTGCTGGAGGAAGTCTCTGCTCTGCAGACCGAAATATGGTGAATTTTGCTCTAAAATTTACCAGCAAAGGTGTTTTCCATTCCTTGATAGTTCCCCTTTACATTGTCTTGCTGGAGAAGGATGACTATACCAGGAGATGGAGAACTCCTCCATCAAGTTGAGAGCAGCCCAAGCTCTCAAGAGGAACGGAAAGTGGCCCTGAGCTGAACATTGACACATCACTGCGTTTAGTGGCACAATGTTAGAACTTAGTCACTGATATCCAGCCAGTAGCCTTTGCTCTAACACTATGAGAAGCGTTTGAAAAGCATCATTTGCTCCCAAATATCATATGATCAGAATAGGCAAACCTGGAGTGCAAAGAAGCATTATTTTCCCCAATTAGAGGTTTCTGCTTTGATTTGAATTCAAGGTCTTTGAGTTTGCTGGGATCCCTGCTCTTCTGCCTATAGAAAACAGAACTTGGACATAGATCCTGAAAATCAGCACCATTTATTTTCCTTTTTGCTAATCCCAGTTTCTTAAGATGAGACTATTTCTAACCAGGTTCATTGGCTGGCTACTCCCTTAGTACTGGTCTCTAAAGCGGAGCATGAAGCTACGTGTTTTGTGAGATAATATTGCCAGTGTCCTCCAAGTCCTGTCTCATTACACCCTGTTTCACAAGTAAATACACCTTGCTTTTTGATAAAAGTAAGCCTTCTTAATTTTCCTCCCCAAAAGGAAAAAAGAAACAGCAATATTTATGAAGAATTAAGAATAACAAAACAACTAAAAAACGAGCAGTCATCAAAGTAACAGTTTAGCATTTAAAAAGACACCGTGTAGCTTCAGACTTACCTGTTCACCTGGGCGAATAAGGCAAGAGAAGTGGATGGAAAAGTCTGGTCTTGTATAGGCTTTTATACCATGTCCAAGACTGCCTGCAGACCAGAGACATATATTATGCATGAAATTTTTTTTAATGATCCATACTTTTGCATGCAAAATTCACCAAACTGATCAACCCTTGGTTTTGGTGTCTTTTTTTTTTTTTCTTTCAAAATCTCTTTTAGTATTGCTCTATTTTTTTTCCCCTCCCCTTATTACATTCACATTCCAGCCCAAACAAAGCTTTCATCTTCACCAATGTGCACCCACTTAACTGCTTGGATGATTGTGGTGACTCGTTTGAATTACAGCAGTAATTACGTCGCCTCCTCAGGCCAATGTACATTCTATGTTTCATTTAATCATCAAGACATTGCTTAAGGGGAGTGTATGTGATGCAGAGTCGCCATTCAAGACTTCACTCCTTTAGGTGGATAATCATTCAGCTCTGAGATGGGATCCTGGCTTCAATTCACAAGTGCTTTCGTTTCACGGACTCAGCTTTACCACAAGCCAAGGTGTGTAATAGTTACTCCCAAATTTTGCTCTTCTGGACTATTTAGGTCCCACACAAACATACAGCTGAGAAGAGCACCACATCTTCATGAGCATTGCAAAGGTTAAAGAAAATTATAACCAGGGAGAACTGCTGACCAGAGACAATAAAACAAGTTTTAAACCTGCTTGGGTTAAGCCACAGTTTTCCCAGTTTATATGAATACAGCTCATAAAAACACATACAAGATTGCATTTCTTTACCAAAACATAGATTTTAACTTCATTTTCCATGCCAAATTCAAACAATCATACCTTTAATGGAAGAGCTTCATCACTTGATCTTATTTATGACATTTATTACCTGCCTCTAATTCTCAATTTCTGTGCAGTCTCTCACCTGAAGAATCATAGAATCATTTTGGTTAGAAAAGACCTTTAAGTGCATCAAGTTCAACCATTAACCTGATACCACCAAGTCCACCACTGAACCATGCCCCTAAGCACCTCTTCCACCTTTATTCCTACCTGAAATCCCAGTAAGGTACCAGGATGTGCAGCAACTTTCCCATCAAATTAAGTAAGAATGTGTACGTTAAAGATTGCTTTCAAAGATTGGTTTTTAGAGGCAGTGCTCTGTCTGAGCCAAGCTACAGCATCAGGAGAAGTTACAGCCAGCAGCTCCCCATCACATTTATCATCACAGGATTTGTTCCATCTCAGCAGTGGCCTCCTGTGCTCCAGGGGGAAAGAATGCAAAAAGCAGAGCTCAGGTCTCTCCCCTTAGCACCACTGCCCCTCAACAAGAGATAAGAATTAACTCTAAATGAGGAGCGTCTGTATACAAAGGTTGGTCTTGGTCTTCAGAAGAACAAAGGGCTTCAAAGTTCAGGACAGCTTTTCACTGTTGGCTCAGGTATGCAAAGATTCATGCTGCCTAATGTTCAAGGTACTTGAGAAGATGTCAGCACTCACATCACCTGGCTAATAACCTTATTTCAAGGTGTGTGTCAAGATCACTCAAAGGAATTCCCAAACTAATTCAAGGTAAATGCCTTCAGAGACTTTAAGTCTTTTAATAAAAAATTTTGTAATTGATTTTTAAAATGAAGCCAACTCTTCTTCTGTAAAATCCTACAATTCCACATATTTTAATAATTCCCTGCAAGAAAATTCTCCTATCCTTTTCTATAAAAGGAGAGAGATTTTTTTCTTCCCCTTCCTCAAAATCTCTACAACCCAACATACTACCTGCCATCTTTTTATATATATATTTATTTTTTTTTTATTTTTAAAAATTCCTTATATTAGGTGAAAGCTATTGCTGACCTGGAGAATTCATTTCCCTTCTGTAAAACGAAACAGCTAAGAAGTGCTGACTTCTCCTCATCCTTCCCTCTGGGGACGTAAACAGCTTTTCTTGGAGGGTATATAATATTTTAGAAACAAATTCATTAACAGCCTGGAAACGTTTTGATTGATATTCTGCCAGTTTAGTCTAATTAGCACCTCGAGTTCACCCAGAAGGTTGAGAACCTTTGGATTTTGTTTTTTTGGGGGGTTGTTAAGGCTGGTAAACAAGGACCTAGCAGCTCTCACAGATCAATAATGGAGTTTCACATTCCACACTCTTAATTAAAGCTCTTTCTCTTGTGCTGTCATGACAAGCTGGTGAGCTACCAAAATTTCCAAAGAGCTGACAAATTACTTACACGAATTTAAATTTGTATCACCTTTATGTTGACTTCAGAGGCTTAAATGTAATAGTAGAAGGCATTCAAGTAATCCACAGGTCTTTGAAATGGAGGAAGCTTTGAGGAAGGCTTTTCATCTGATGCAGGGATGAGACTAGACTGGCAGAAAAACCATAAGCAATTTAAGTACTGTGAACAATTTATTCAGGACAATTTAGCCAGCTGCAATAGCATTTATATAACTGGCCTTATTTGAATCCCTCAAACCTTCCCAACATGAGAATCTCTTCAATTTTTTCCCCCATATCTACTGTTTTAGTAGCTTCAGCAGCTGTTTTAAATCTCAGGTCCTTATTTTTAGCAAAAACATTCACCTGTGAGAGTTTCTAAAAGTTTTAATGCCTACAAGTGTCTTATATTTAGCTGATCTAAGCATGCTTCATTCCTTAACATGAGTTCTGTATTGGAATTCTGTAAGACTGCAGCCAGGGCTGCCAGGTTTTTATAAGGAGCCCTAAAATACATACTATTTTCACAGTAAAGAGCAAGTAAATAGCTCAAACAGTTGTGCTCTGTGTCACAAAAAGCTCCATGCATACCTCTTTTGAGGCTTTTGCTGTGTTTTATTTCTCAAATCTAAGCATTCAAGCAGCACTTTGGTGGTAAAAGAATGTTGATATTTCTTTGCACCCTGCACCTCTAGGTCAGAGTTACTGAGAGAGTGAATCACAACAGGATTCCTTAAAACAAGCATCATTATATGTTAGATTAGATACTCTGCTTTTCTGTTAGGTCATAAAATGCTTCCAGCCTTGAGAATAATTTCTTGGCAGAGATGCAGAAAGCTAAATATAATGAGTCAGTGTGGAATCAAAATGCATTTCTGTTGCAAAATTAAATGTTTGCTTGATCTTGAGCCCTAAACATATGTTCTACTGTTATTAGTGGCCCCAGTAGTATTCATACTGTGTTTCTGCCTGAGAGTAGTGATCTATGCAGGGATGAAATTCACCCAGAATAAGTTTCAAAAGTAGGAGATGAAGGAAAAAATAACAGATGACTGGGGATATGATAAAAGCATAACTTTAATAATACCAAAAAGTGCATTAAAATACTGCAAAGCAACAGGTTTCAATAGAGGAAGAATGACACATCTCACGGTGATGTATTCCACAGACAGAGCTCTTCTTTCATTGTAGCATTGCACCTGGACCATCCAGTCCCACCTACTGTCTAAATGATGAGTTTTACACCAGGTAGCATCAAATACAGAGATACTCAGCAGAACTACAGACTTGATTAGGGACATAAAGTAGCTTAACGAGAATAGGGGCCTCGTTTTAGGGAATGACTGACTCCCACAGCTCCATTAACTTCAGGTGGAGCTGTGGGCATCTCACATCGCTTCTGAAAACCATGGCCATGAGCTCAGTCCTGTGTCGGGTCGTGCTTCAGCTTTCCTGGTCGTTTCTTCCTGCTTGCTCCTCAGGCTTTAGCACGGCCCGTAGAAGCCACTGCGGTAGGGGTTGTTGC